TTCTCTTTTGACTCTTTTGGAGAAGTCTTTGGAAGCACATAAAAATTTAATTTTAAGAAGGTCCCAATCATCTGGTTTCTCTTCTGTTGTTTGTGCATTTTGAATTATGCTTGATAGTCTGTTTATGCTAATGGAAAAATTTTAAATTGCTATCAAGCCTTCTTACTCATGGTTAGTTATCCGTGTAACAGTGTCATAAACTCTTCAAAGGCAAATAAATTATAGGATAACAAATTAATGAGAAAATCATGTCATGTTAGAACATTTTCTTCAGTTGTCTTTGATCTGTTACTCTAATATTTGAAAATCTCCTTATTTTAGTTTCATTCTTTTTTTTTTTTAAATATATATTTGTTAAATTTATTGTGGTTTGGGTGAAGGTTTACAGAATAAATTAGCTTTCTTTTCAAACAGTGAATCTACCAGTATAGGGTCATTTTGCTTCAGTTCTGCACTCACCCTGTCCTTGGGATATGCTGCTTATGTCCACACGTCAGGGGAGACATGCAGTGGCTTCCTAAGGAATCAGTTTTAATTTAAAGACTCAAGGAAATTTATTTGAAAGGATTGTTTTCATGTTAAGATAAACATGGATATATTATGGAGTGGAAAGTCCCTATGCTCCTTCATGAAAATAGGTTTTGAAGGAATTTTGCTGAGCCTTTAGAAACTATACCCATAGACTCCCAGGGGTATTTTACTCCCCTGATACAATTAGGGAAATGCCACAGGAAAAGTTAGAAAAGTATTTTTGCTAGTTGGAAGCCCTCATGACACAGCAGCTGCTTCTGGGAAAGGAAGAAAGGACAAGGAAGGATGTTTCGTACTGTGCTGCACAGTTTGAATCTGTCCTGCATAACAAGAAATGAAAGACAACGTTGGAGTGCTCCTGGGTGGCAGGTCTGTGCTTGCAACCCTGGACGTGTCTAAGGGAGGATGGACGTTTGTCCAGGATGGACTCACTTGGGCACTGAACCAGCTAGGCTGTGTGGGGCAGGCAGTGGTGGAGGGAGCAGAGCTCTGTGAGTCTCCTGACTGAGACTTCGGGCAAGCTCTTCTTGACCCTGCCTTCCTCATCTTTCCGATGGCTTTGCTACCCTGACTGTGGAGGGTACTGTGAGGATGACAGGAACTTCAGTCTGTAACACGCCCAGCACATTCTACATCTGCACCATCATCCCCTTTGACTTTCCCCAGTGCAAATTACAATCATTGGTGGGAGTGCAAAGTAACAAAAGGATGTGTAGGGATAGGAGACCTGGAAGCCAGGACACTGATTATATTCCAGACTAACTGAAGCTCAGTGAGTGGAGCCACGGTCATGGCACAGAGCAGGCCTTTCAGTGGCCAAGCTGCAGACCGGGACCTGGAGGAGGTAGCAGGTAGTCAGACCTCAGTTACCCAAGAAAAGAGGGACCTTTTCAACCTAGTATTTAAGGACACAACAGCAGGGTAAGGAAGCATCTTGCTTATTTTTAGTTAAAGAAAAACAGCCTTTTCCAAGGGTGACAAATGAACTGAAGATCAGAAGGAAGCCGGTGTGGGCTGCTTCTCATAAGCTCTTGCTCCAAACCCCAGAAGTGATCAGAGAGGGAGGGTCTTCCTGGAAAGAGAAGGCCCTCAGCCTAGGAACTTAGGAGCAGTTGGTGCAGCAGAGGGATTCCTGTGGTGGGGTGAGTGGAGTCCACCCTTGGTCACTAGATTGGTGCTAGTGGGCTCTCAGGTGACTTCCACTTGCAGGGGGGCGGGGGTTGGCATGATCAACACTAGTCGTCTTGGGAAGCATTAAATTAAGGAATAACACAGGGGCCAAGAGTGGCTTATTCAGTTGGATTCTGAATCACAATCAGGAAATAGTCTTTATCTGGTACAGCCCTAATTTCATTTTTCTTGGAGCGAGTTTGAAGGAAGGTGAGGTCATTTTGGGGGTCAATTTAATGTACGGTGCTCCGTGCCTTTAAGATGAAGTTGTGCATGAGGTTGGCGTACTGCATAATTGTGGAATTGTCCATGGTGCTTTTTTGATGGGAATGTCTTCTGTGTTCATCACGATGATTCCCTGCATGCCCTTTTGGCTCTGAAGTCCCTTCAGGGTTTCTTCCACTTCTGCCATCTCAGACCGATGGGATAGCTTAGTGTCGCCGGCAGGCAGCCCAGTCCCCTAGTTTCATTCTTTTGATTACTTATGAGATCATACATTTACAAAACTATGTCTATATTTGTAAAAGGGGTAGAAGAGTCAGCTCTTTCTTACAGAAAAATTCCAATGAGTAGATGTGGATAGAATGATGGATGTAGAAAATTTCCATTTGGCAAACACCGTAGTAATAATTGTAGTAGGCACATGTCCTCAGTTGATGTCAAAGTAGTGGGTGAAAGGATAAGACACAGGATATTGGCCTATTCTGAAAATATTTCCCCATAAGATACTATTTAGTGATCAAGAGAGAACAGCAAATTTACACTGGAGAAACCTGGTAGACAGCAATGTACCCAATGGACCAAATGTAACATCACTAATAATGAGATACACAGTCTGCCCTCTGTGTATGCAGATTCTGCATCTGCAGATTCAAGTAACTGTGGATCAAAAATATTTTGGGGAAAAAAGAGCAATCAAATTGTTAAAGCAATCTCTCAAAGGTTAAACTAAACTAAACCAAACCCACTGCTGTTGAGTTGATTGACTCATTGCAAACACCATTGGTTTTCCAAGGCAGTAAATCTTTATGGAAGTAGATTGCATTCCTTCCATGGAATGGCTGGTAGATTTGAACTGCCAACCTTCTGGTTAGTAGTCAAATGTCTTAAGCGTTGCTCTAACTAGAGCTCTTTCTCAAAGGTTAAGAGGAAGCATACAATGCTGTTCACATAGCATTTACCTTATATTAGTATTATATGTAATCTAGAATAAAGCATATGAGAAGATATGCATAGGTTATATGTAAATACTATGCCATTTTGTATAAGGGACTGGAGCATCCATAGATTTTGGTGTCTGTGGGTGGGATTCTGGAACCAATCCCTCACAGGTACTGAGGGATGATTGTATTAGTATCAGGTACTTCCTGATAAGATGTTCAGATAAGGGCACAACATTACTTCTGTGGTACTGTTGTCAAAAAAATCTAAATGTGATTATGAGGAAACATCAAATCCAAATTGAAGAACAATCTATAAAATAACCAGACAGTACTCTTTAAAAATGTCAAGGTCATAAAAGTGAAAGACTAAGGAACTTTCCCAGATTAGAAGAGGTTTAGGAGACATGGTAACTAAAAGCAATATGTGGTTCTGGTTTAGATCTTGGACTACAGAAAGGTACATTCATAGACAGTTGGAGAAATTTTACTGTGGTTGATTTATCAGTTAATATTATATCAATTTTAATTTTTTTGTTTTGATAATTGTATTATGATAATCTAAGACGTTAACAAAGGAGCATAGGTAGTGCATTGGTTAAGGCATTGGGCTGCTAACCAAAGGTTTGGCAGTTCAAGCCCATCAGCTGCTCCATGGAAGAGAGATGAAACAGCTGCTTCTGTTAAGATTTACAGCCTTGGAAACCCTTTGGGGAAGTTCTACTCTCCTATTAGGTTGCTGTGTGTCCGAATAGACTTGAAGGCAGTGGGTTTTGATTTTTGAAGAGGATTTGGAGAAGCTGGTTGAAAAGTATATGGAAACTCTTTGCACTATTTTAATAAGTATTTTATGAAAGAGAAATTATTTCACAATCAAATTCAAAAAGAGTAAAGTAAGAAACACAGGTTTGAAAAGGCCACATTAAGGGCCACAAATGACTGCTGAGATTCATGTTGTTATGTGCTGTCAAGTCATCTCTGACTCATAGCAACTTTATGTACAACAGAATGAAACACTGCCCAGTCTTGTCCCAGTCTCACGATCCTTATTATATGTGAGACCATTCTGCAGCCAGCATGTCAATCCATCTTGTTGAGGGCCTTCCCCTCTTTTGTTGACCCTCCATTTTACCAAGCATGATATCCTTCTCCAGAGAATGGTCCCTTCTGACAACATGACCAAAATAGTTGAGATGAAGTCTAGCCATTCTCGCTTCCAGGGAGCATTACAGCTGCACTTCTTCCAGGACAGATTTGTTAGTTCTTCTGGCAGCAGTCCACGGTACTTTCAGCATTCTTCGCCAGCACCAGAACTGAAAAGCATCAACTCTTCTTTGGTCTTCCTTATTTATTATCCAGCTCTCACATATGTATGAGGTGATTGAAAATAACATAGCTTGGGTTAGGTGCATCTTCATCTTCAAGGAGACATCTTTGATCTTCAACACTTGAAAGAGGTCTTTTGCAACAGATTTGCCCAGTGCAATACATCTTTGAATGTCTTAACTGCTGCTTCCATTGGCATTGTTGATTGTAGAACCGAGTAATATGAAGTCTTTGACAACATCAAGCTGAGATTCATAGGGAATTTATAAATCATTATTGTCCAGCTCAGTGAGCTATAGTCACCTGCAAGTAGTCTCTGCAAAAATAAGTTAAATTATGTTAAAATCCTAGAGGTAATAAATTATAAGAGAAATCTCTGCTTTTTTAGATAAATTATTCTGTTTGAATACATGCCAAAAATCCTTTTTATTTCATTTCATTATATTTGTGTCTATAGTGAAAGCATTTCAGCTTTGAAGAATATGTTTAGTTTTTAAAGTGATCATATAAAGAAGATGGTATTTTTCTGAAATTATGTCTTTGTTTTCAGGTAGGAAAAAATATGATGTAATTGTGATAGATCCTCCATGGCAAAACAAATCAGTGAAAAGAAGTAACAGGTAAGTGTAATTAAGTTATCTATGATGGCATAGTGCCTAAGGCATTTGACTGCTAACCAGAAGCCTGGCTGTTCAAACCTACCAGCCATTCCTTGGAAGGAAGATTGGGTAATCTACTTCCGTAGAGATACCACCTCAGAAACCCAAGGAGGGTTGCTATGAGTCAGGATCGACTCGACAGCAGTGAGTTTTTGGTATTAGATATGCTATGGATTGATCCTCTTACTGTTATATAATGTACTTTGTCTTTCATAACAATTTTTGTTATAAACTATTTTGTTTGATAATAATATAGCCTCTTCAACTCTCTTACGGTTTCTAGTTACATTCTCTATCTTTCCTCATTCTTTCTTTTAACCTAATTGTGTCTTTGAATATAAAGTTTATCTCTGATAGACAGTATATAGTTGAATCCTGTTTTTTAAATCAATTCTGCCCATCTTTTTTTCAGTGGAACATTTAAGCATTTACATTTAATGAAGTGTTGCTAAGGAAGGCCTTATTTTTGCCATTTTGTGTTTTGTTTTTTGTGTCATATCTTTTTTGTTCCTCCATTCTTTGATTACTGTCATCTTTTGTGTTGAATAGATATTTTCTAGTGCACCATGGCAGTTCAAATCCACCAGCCAATCTTCAGAAGGAAGGATGGGCAATTCTAGTTCTGTAGTGATACCGCCTTGGAAACCCAAGGAGGGGTTGCTATGAGTCGGGTCCAACTCAATGGCACATAACAACAACAGCAACATTGTTTCATTGAAGGAGCTCTCGTGGTACTGTGGTTAAAGCACTGGGCTGCTAACCAAAAGGTTGACAGTTTGAACCCACCAACTACTCTGCAGGAAAAAGATGAGGCAGTGTGTTTCTATAAAGATTTGCAGCTTTGGAGACCCTATGGGGTAGATCTGCTCTGTCCTGTAGGGTCACTGTGAGTTGGAAGTGACTCAGTAACAGTGGGTTTGGTGGGTTATTTCTTTTACTATATGTTCTTGAGTTGTTTTCTAAGTGGTTGCCCCAGGGGTTATAATTAATATCTTAATTTATAGTAATCTAATGTAACATAGTGCCTAGGCACTTGACTGCTAACCAGAAGGCTGGGGGTTCAAACCCACCAGCCACTCCTTGGAAGGAAGATGGGGCAATCTACTCCCGTAGTGATACTGCCTTGGAAACTCAAGGAGGGGTCGCTATGAGTTGGGTCTGACTCAACAGCACATAACAACAACAACAACAGATTAATACCAAGTTAATTTCAACAGTATGTAGAACATTGCTCTTATATAGCTCTGTTTCCCTTCCTCCCTTTATGCTGTTATTGTCACCAATCATTTTCATATATTTCTACCTATTTCTTTACATGTTATGTGCCCATCAACATAGATTTATAAGTATTGCTTTATGGAGTTGATTCTAATCTGAAAGAAGAAAAGAAGAGTTACATACAGAAATCTATTAAGGGAGCTCTGGTGGTGTAGTACATAAGGCATTGGACTGCTAACCAGAAGACTGGCCTCGGAAATGCAGGGAGTGGTAGCTATGAGTCGGATCCGACTCCATGGCAATGGTTGTGTTGTGTTTCGTTTGTATTTTCCTATGTGGTTACTTCTGGCATACTTTATTTCTTCATATGGATTTGAGTTACTGTCTAGTACCCTGTCATTTAGCTTGAAGGGCTCATTTGATAAGGCAGATATGTTAGCAATGAACTGTCTCAGTTTTTGTTTATCTGACAGTGTCTTCATTTCTTCATCAGTTTTGAAGGATAATTTTGCCAGATACAGAGTCATGATTGACTTTTTGTCTTTCAGCATTTTGAATATGCCTTGCTACTGCTTTCTGGCCTCCATGGTTTCTAATGAGAAACCGAAAAACCAAACACACTGACACTGAGTCAGACCCGATTCATAGCGACCCCTTCTTGGGTTTCTGAGGCAATATCACTACGGAAGTAGATTGCCCAACCTTCGTTCCGAGGAGTGGCTGGTGGGTTTGAACCGCCAGGCTTCTGGTTAGCAGTCAAATGCCTTAGGCACTATACCACCAGAGCTCCCATTTTACTGAGGCCCTCTTGTACATGATAAGTCGCTTCTTTCTTGCTGCTTTTATGATTGTCTTTTTGTCTTTCAACAATTTGATTATAATATATATCAGTATAGATCTCTTTGAGTTTATCCTGCTTGGACTCTTTTAGGCTTCTTAGATGTGTAGATTAATGTTTTTCATCAATTGGAGTAATTTTTTTTTTTTCTTTTATTAGGATTTGGGTGAAGATTTACAGAGTAAATTCACTTTTCATGCAGCAGTTCACATATACTTTGTCTCATGTCATTGACCCAAATTTACAATGCAGCAGCTCCCCTCCCACTTCCTCCCCATAGTTACCTCCTCCCAGTGTCCATCCCTTCATACTCTTCTGCACCCTGAGCTATC